AATATCATGAGCAGACAATAAATGAGATGAAAGTTTAGAAGAGGAAGAGGCCATGTTGGCTGTGGTAATAATAAAACAGTAATAATACCTGGTACATAAATGTTGCATTTTGCTAATAGTACTCTATATTTGCACAGCATTTCAGAGTTTCCAGAACACTTTCATGTCAGTTAGTCTCATCTGGCTTTATTAAGTCTTCACAACAACCTGTGAGTAAGGTATTAATAAATGAGGTCAAGTACATAAAATACTTAGAATAGTGGCTAGTACATAGTGAATGCTTGCTATTAGTATTACAATTACTATTAACCCTATTTTATACATGAGGAAATTAAGGCTTAGAGAGGCAATTACTTGCCCAAAGTTACACGGTTAAAAAGTGGTAGAACTATCCCTGAACCCAACTCCACTGGCTCCTATTTCTAGACCTTTCTCCATTATCCCATGCATAAAACAGGGAGAATTTAAGTTGGGCTTGCCTAAGTTGGGCCAAGTTTTGAGGCAGCCTTAGCAGAGAAGTGTCTGAAATCACGCTCCTCAGCCTCACAAGCCCTGGTTGGATAGGAATTGGTGAGCGTATTCATTGCCTTGAGTAAGAAGAGTTAAATCTAGAAGCTTCTACTCATTTTAGCAGTAAGGTGAGATGGTTCATTGGCTGGCCCATCAAGGAAGCTGCAAGCCATTAAACTCACATAGATCCTCAGCTGCTAGGCTTATTAAGAAAATGTTACAATAGGGGGAAATTGACAACACAGGCACCATAGATATTTTTAGTCTGTGCTTCAAGGATGTACATCTTGGGTTCTGTTTAGGATTGAGCAAAGGAGGTGAATTTGGGCTGATTTGACAAGACCGCCAGTCAGAAAGTTCTTCTCTGTGCCCAGTTTATGCAAGGAACTGTGGGGGTTAGAGGAAGGAGAAGGGAACTAAGGGAGGTGAAATAACTTTCCCAAACTTTCAAACACTGAGAAGAGTGGTATATTTTCCTTGTGGGGGGTGGGCAGTGTGGCAATATCAGTAAAAACTGTAACTGTGTCTGTTCCTTGCACCAGCAATTCTGCAATAAATTGTTTATCCTTCTAATGTACAACATGGTGACTATAGTTAATAATACTGTATTGTATACTTGAAATTTTCTGAGAGTAGATCTTGCATGTTCTCACCACACACACATAAAATGGTAACTATGCAAGGTGATAGATGTGTTAATTAACCTGAGTGTGTTAATCCCATTTCACAAAGTATAGGTATATTAAGTCATCATGATGCACACTTTAAATGTATACAATTTTATTTGTCAATTATATCTCAGTACAGTTGGAAAAAATAAGTTATTTATCCTATGGATGTATTCTTTTTTTCCTATGGAGATATATATATATATATATATATATTCTGTGGATATATATATTCTATGGATATATATATATATATTCAAGAATTTTATTTATTTATTTGAGAGAGAGAGAGAGCACAAGCAGGGGGAACAGCAGAGGGAGAGGGAGAAGAAGGATCCCTGCTGAGCAGGGGCCCGATGTGGGGCTCTATCCCAGGACCTCATCACTTGAGCTGAAGGCAGATGCTTAACCATCTGAGCCACTCAGGTGCCCCTGGATATATATAATTTTAAGGTTTATTTATTTGTTTTAGAGAAGAGAGGGAGGGGCAGAGGGAGAGAGAAAGCAGACTCCACATTCAGCACGGAACCCAATGTAGGGCTCGATCTCAGGACCCCAAAATCATGCCCTGAGCTGAAACCAAGAGTCATATGCTCAACTGACTGCGCCACCCAGGATCCCCTCCTATGGATATATTCTTAAATATTAGCCATTATAGCACTGTTTAAAATGGCAAAAACAACCCCAAAACTGGAAATCTAAATGCTCACCAATATATATTGGTGAAATTACTGTATGATCTTCAAGTGGAATTTCATGCAACTATTAAAAAGAAAGAAGTCCATCAGTATGTGCTGAAAGCATATCACTAAGATGTATTTTTGAGTGCAATAAAAATCAAGGTTCAAAAAAGAAGGGTTTACATAGCGTGATGCTACATGTATGTTTGAAGCATATATGTGTGCAGACATTTTCCCCACACTGGAAGGATATGCTTGCAACTGATAATGGGGATTATGTGTGATGAAAAAGAAATGAGAAAGGAGAAACTTATTTTTTATCTTATTCTTTTATGTACTTTTGAAGGTCGATTGATTGATTTCACCATATGACATACTTTTTTTTTTTTTTAAATTTAAGCCACTTGCCTAAGGTCACAGAGCCAGGAAAGGGTACATCTAGGATTCCCACCCAGACTATAATTTCAGAGCCCTGTGATTCACAACTCCCCTGGATTCTAACACGCTGCCTCCTAACAGTGCTCTCTTAATATGAGGAGGTACTTCTGTCACTTGCTTATAAGTCATAAAATTTTTCATGAAAATATCTGGAACCTAAATTTCCAAGGGCTAGAGCTAGGAAAATGTGCTCATTGTCCAGAAGAAGGCTCTGTGCCGCATCTGTCTGCCATCTTAGGTCCTTTTCCAAAAGACTGTGCTCAGCCAACAGAGGTCAGTGACCTGGAGTCAGGAAACACAGACTAAGATTTTCAACAGGACAAATTACCTTAAGGAAAAGGCATTAAGATCACTGGAGAGGTGGGGGCGGGGAGAAGGCATGAAAACAGTATCATTAGCCAACTTTGTCAATGGGCAGGTGCAGGAAGTGGCAGATAAACCCAGCCAGAATCTATAAATATACTTCAATATCAGTATTGTAAACTCACAAAATAAGTGAGTGAATTAAAATACTTGGCAACACATAAGCACCTACCTGTAAACTCTTAGTTCTAAGCTTAGCTCCTATGAACTTTTCTGTGGTTTGGGCATATTATTTCACTGCTCTGGGTTTCAATTTCTCCATCGGTCCAATGAACAGTGTTATCTGCCTTGGCTGCTTCACTAAGTTGTAAGGAACAAATAAGGCAAGGAATGTGCTTTGAAAGTGCAAGGTATCCTATGCCCAACAGAATGAGAGGTTATTGTTAATGTCTCTGAGACTTACCTCACAGAACAAGAGCTATTTTGAGACAGGAAGATAGGAGGAAGCATCAGGAAAACATTGCGGGTAATAAGGTAGACACACCTTGTCAATACAAGAAAGGAACCTCCAGGGTCATTTACTCCATTTCTCCTTTTTCTAGTCCTGAACAAAGGCCTACAGAGTCTAAGATCTACAGAGCAGTGATAGTGCCATGTGTAAATTATCATTTAAGTCCATAAATAAGTTAGAATAGTAGCCAAAGGGACAGGATAGGGTACAGGCCCCTTGCTGGAGATGGTTGCTGAGCTATAAGTGTTGAACAGGGTTGTGGAAGCAAGTTGATGAAGCTTAGTGAGTTATTGGGGCAAAGGTTGGGGGATCGCTTCAGTGATCCAGCTCCAGGATGGCTGAGTGCCTCTGAGGAACAATTTGAGGGTGGCCAGGGACTTGGATAGGACAAATGACAACTTCCTAGAACAGACTGTTCCAGCAGAGAGGAAAGGAAATAGCTTGGCCTTGTCCTGGGTAGTTCACAGGAACCAGGGTAGGAAGTATTTGTAGTAGAACTAGTGCTCACAACATCAAGTCCCTTTTGAGCGGAAGAAAGAAAATGGGGGAAAAAACATGCAATGCAGCACACATGACAAGTCAGTTTTTGTAATGGTGGGAGTGAAGATGGAGGGAATGAATCAGCAGAGGGAGATGACTATACAGCCCCAGGAGCACTGGACTCAGACTTGGGTGTGAATACTGGCTCTGTCACTAACTTGCCATGTGACCCTGAATACACTATTTTTCCTTTCTGAGTCTTGGTTTCCTCATCTCAAAAATGAAGACCTTTCTCCCTATATCATAAATTGTTATTAGGATTAAATGAGATGTTCTTGAAAGCAACTTGCACACAACTCCTAGAACATTATGCCCAATAAATGTTGTTTATCCCTTATTTTGGAGAGGGACTTTTAGAAACCTCCAGTGAAATATGCTAATTTGAAATTTCAAACACTGGGAAAGACCAACCTCACTAACAGGTATAGCGTGGAAAGGCTCTTTACACACATGGAGAACTAGCCTAAGTGGATGGGTAAGAAAATCTTTTGGGGGGTGGAGAGGGGGAGATTAAGGGCAAAGTAGAAATGGATATCAATGTAAACATAAACACAGTCTACTTACAAGTGGCTCTGAAGTCCCTGATGCATTAATGTGAGGTTCCTTTAGATCCGTGACAAGATAGGAAGATGGTAAGTACTGTATAACTAAGCCTGACTAGTTTTCTTGACTGGAATTCAGAAATATAGAATAGGTTTTGTGTTCAATTATAGTAACTTTTCTCAGCCTCCTACCTTTTAAAATTTCTGATATAATTAATGCTCTGTCATTCACTGATTGTCCTTTAATCCTTACTTTGTTGGTTATATTTGCCTTTTAAATTATTAATTGTCTCAAATCCTTTTTGGAAGTATAGGTATGAAGAGGTAAAATGATAACAGTTTCTTTGAAAACTAAAATTCCAAGGGTAGAACCCAACTAGAAAATCAGAATGATGGGGGAAGATAAGGAAAGTATATAGACATGTGTGGTACTGACCTGGTCTTTACCAGGAATCACATTAGAGAAATTCCTACTTCTAAACTTCTTTTGTAGCCCAAAGACAAAGGATACTATAAAATCCCAAAACCTGGGAGTGAAAAAGTGCGTTGGATTATTTTATGGATGGGTAAACTGAGCGTAAAGGAGAGGAAGTGGTTTGCTTGAGGATCTCTCCTGATGATCTAGTAGTTGAGTTAGGGTCCAACCCTATCCCAGTTCTCTTGACTCTCATTTTGGGGTTCTGTCTGCTGTGGTCTTCTTCTTTATGATAGTAAATTTCTGATCTCAAACACTTATACAAAACTAATTTGTGTGTTTTTTGTTTGGTTTGATTTTGGTTTTGGTTTTGTTTTTGTTTTCCTTTTCCAGGGCCAAGTGCTTCCGGGGTAAAAAAGTCCTTGGAGATTATGACATCAAAGTGGAACAGGTAATTACCCGAAAGCCCAGAGTTACATCTGCATCATTGTTCTCTCTTGACATCCCAGAGTGAATCATCTAGTCTTCAGAGTGGAGGACAGTGTTTGTCACTGGATTCCAGGCCCTCCATCTACTCTCCCTCACCCTGTTCCCTGGGGCTTTTCTCTCTATGAGATATGGCCATGAAGGCTGCCTTTCAACTTCCCTGACTTCTTTTCATGGTGCTTGTGTCTGTAAAGTAGTGAGGAATGTGGTTCTTAGGGCTCTCTTCTGCGTTCTCAGGCCGAGGAAAACCTTAGGGGAATGTCTTCCTGGGACCCTGGCCACACCTCCATGTTGTTGATGGTATGATATTCCTGGGTTGGCACATATCTGCCATTCAGTTGTGCAGCCTCCAATGCTGCCTACTCTGGGCAAGAAGCTACACTTCAGAGAGAATTAAAACACACACACACACCCCTACTTCTTTTAATGTAGTGAAGTCCTGAAAGCCCCCCTCCCCTTTTTTTAAATCTTCCTCTACCCTTTGCTTCATGATAAATAGAAATTAAGTCAATTTGGGTGGAGAGGGGGATGTCCAGTTTAAACAATGCAGGTACTTTCTATGTAATAATAGAAGTTACTCATCATTCTTTACACAGTATGCTGTGATTTACAGAGTATTTTCCTACCCATTATTGTATTCAGTTCTTAAAACAACTTGTTGGATAGGCAAGGTTGATTAAAAATTATTCCCATTTTATAGATGAAAGAAACTCTTCCTCCCCCACCCCACCCCCAGGAGGACAAGTCCATGGAGCTAACTGGGGGCAGAGCAGAAGTAACACCCAGTTGCCTAAACTAAAATCTAGTGTTTTTATGTTCAGACTGACAGAGGGCATGTTGCCCCAGTTTACATTCCCTCTCTATAGAAAGGCAGCACAGAGTAGTCAGAAGACCTGAGCTTTGCTCCTGTTTCTGCCAACAATAATTTTATTTGTCCAGAAAGTCACTTAACTGCTTCTTTGGTAAACGGGGAGAATTATCTCTGTCCTTCCTCCCTCACAGAGTTGCTATGAAAGTGAGATGAAATTAGTTTGTGAAAATGCTTTGAAAACTGAATGAATATTTGGTGGGAGAGCTGCTGCTGTTCTGTGGAGAACTTGGCAAAGCCAGGACTATGGGCTTATTTCCCTACAGTTATTTTTATTTATTTATTTTTAATTTTTTTTACTACAACTTTAATTGTAGTAAAAAAAAAAAAAAGAAAAACCCCACATAACATGAAATCTACCATCTTAATCCCCTACTGTTATTTTCCAGGCGGAATTTTCAGAGCTCAACCTTGTGGCCCATGCAGATGGGACCTATGCTGTGGATATGCAGGTGCTCCGGAATGGCACAAAGGTTGTCCGGTAAGGTCCCTTCTATCCTCAGGGTCACTGTCACTGTCTTCAGAGTTACTGTCTCTGGTTTGCATAGGTGGTTTCAAAGTCAAGTGTTGGAGTGGAATGGCAGTGCCATATATATAGTACAGAAGTTAATGTTGTATGCTGTGTCAACATAGAAGTGGCAGAAGAAGGCAGAGAAAACCAGCTTCCGCTCTCAGGGAACTCTTAGTCCAATGGTAGAGAAAGGACTCAGGACTCATTTAGAGGTGCCCAGACTCCTACCAGAGGGGTCCTAGGATTCCAGCCCCACTTCCACCAGTGTGATTTTTGTGCTTTTATCTCTGTATGTATTTTCCCTGGAAAACAGGATTCCATTGCTTAAAAAAAGAAAAAAAGTTGGAAAACCTCTGATCTAGTTCAGCCTCCTACTTTACATTGATTTGCTTAGATTCACTCAGTGAGTTAGTAGCAGAGCCTTGTGTTTCTATGTGAATTCTCTTAACTCCCAGCCCCATACTCTTTCTATGTTCCTCAGTCCTGGGAATTCGTAAGTCAGGAAAGTCTAGGTTGGAAGGGACATTGTGGATGGAAGAAAATTTGCAGGTACAGGGCACTTACATGCCAGGTAGTGTGCTTGGTAACTTACAGATGTGATCAAATTTAATAAAATAATTCTGTGAGGGAAGTAAGAAGAATTCCAGATGGGGAAAAATGGTTTCCACAGTGTCATTTTTCCCAGGGGCTCAGCATGGTGTCAGGTTTTCAGATACAGAATCTTGCACCAGGAAGAATTTTCACTTCATCCTCTACCCTACCTCAACCTACAGCATCCTGACATTGAGGTCTCTGGTGTCTAGTAGGAACTGGCTCAGTGACAGGGAAGGCAAAACTCAGGTGTCTGGAACCTAACAACAGGAGATGTAAACTCCTCCATCCTAGAGATGAGGAGGACAGAAAAATAGATGTCCGTCCAAGTGGGGAGCGAGCTCAAGAGAGAATGATGGGCCCCTCCAACTGCAGGTAGATGAGTCATAAGGATGCATGCACACAGGTAGGTGGTGACAGAAAGGTCCGTAGAAGGGTGCCAGGAGGGATCTGGCAAAACTAAGGCAGGCCCTTCCAGGTACGTGTGTAGGAACTTAAGAGCTGGCCAGTGTAGGAAATCTAGGGCTTAGTTCCTATAACTGGCATACAATTTTCAGAGGAAAATCAAGCATACAGCTGGAGCCAGTTTCCCAGAACTGGGGTACAAGGAGATCAGAACAGCTCCAGTACATGCCATACTGACTTGATGCTACATTCCTTTAGTGACTGAGGAGGGCTTCTTCCACCCCTACTTTAAAAGATTGATCTCTGAGCCCAGGTGGTACTGGAGCTGTAGGTGGGGGTTGAATGGGTGCCTGGGCAGAGAACCAGGTGGGTCATTGCATATGGTGTGAAACTGGCAAGCTCCAGAGCCTTGAGGGAGAATGCTGCTACAGAACTGACTCTCTGGGAAGGTGGGGTTCCCTTGGAGTCAGGGCATGAAGATGGAGCAGCTGAGGAGCTTTGCTGGCTAGAGGGAAAACGCAGGGAGCCTTCCCATGCATGGGAACATTCTGTACTCCCAGTGCTTCCTGTAGCCATTGCTCAACCTCAGTTCTTCGAAAAATATTTGCACCCCTCCCTGGTGTACACTTTGGAAGAATAACATTGGGAAGTTTGGCATCTATTTTCAGCCATCCTGGACCCTTGCTCTTCTCAGGGCCTGATGAAGGCATTGGTTTTTAAGGAGCAGTTTTAAGGAGTCAGAATAGGATACTGAGATCAGGGATCTCTGTGGCAGGGTGGTGAAGTCAGGCAACTATGTCTTCAAAGTCTACTGGGGCGCTCTTCGAGCACAAACTCTGAAGCCACAAGGAGCTTCTGCTCTCTTATTGCCCCAAAGGGACCAGGTAAATTCTTGTTCATTTAAGATGTGAGGGTCTGAAAGTGTTTCTTCCCTCCTGAGGGGATTTGTACCTTAGAAAAAGACAATGCTTAATCCAGAGGAATAAGGGAACTTCAGACACCTGTCCCTTAAATCTCCTTTAAGAGGTGCCATAATACCTCACTTCCTAGTCCATAAGAGAATAATAAAATGAAGGGCTTACGTCAGGTGACCCTTAATACCCCTTCTCTGTCTAGGGCTTTGGAAATAGGAGACAAGATGATATATGACCTGAGGGGCTGGTTGATGGGAAACTTGCCTCTACATTTTTACCAGGTCCTTCCGGCCAGACTTTGTGCTTATCCGGCAGCATGCATTCGGCATGGCAGAGAATGAGGACTTCCGCCACCTTATCATTGGCATGCAGTACGCAGGCCTCCCCAGCATCAACTCACTGGAATCCATTTACAACTTCTGTGACAAGCCATGGGTGGTGAGTGAGGCCCCCTTCCTCCCAGGTAAAAGGGTAGGATCCAGGTCCTGTATCTCCCAGTCCCCCAGGAGGGACCACTGGTAATCAAGATGCACTAGGCACAGCTGAGAGGATGTGAGAGGTGTTTCAGATGAGACATGGGGTAGGGTGGGCTCTCCCAATAAAACATTATCATCAAGGGCTGGGCTGTCTTTGATGTAGAGTGGGCTTTTGGCCTCACAACAAAGTCACACAAAGATTCTGTAAAGAAGTCCTTATAAGTCTGCATGCTGTGCCCTCAGCCATATAAGATACAAGAATAAAAATACCTGTTTCTTGCCTCTGAATGTTCTATTGGAAAGGCCTGAGGCCAGTGGGGACCCAGCTCCTATAACTGCTGCTCCAGGCTGCCCTCTTAGAAGGAAGCACCTGCTCCCATCACATCCTCTAACTCTTGTTTTTCAAAAATCACTTCAGCTGTCACCCTGGCTTGCCAAGGGTCACTCGGAAGTTCTCAGACCCCAAGCCTCTCTACCACCCAGGGAGTTGGAGGGTGTGTGTGTGTGTGTGTGTGTGTGTGTGTGTGTGTTTTAAGATTTTATTTATTTATTTGATACAGAGAGACAGAGAGAGAGAGCACAAGCAGGGGGAGCAGCAGGCAGAGGGAGAGGGAGAAGCAGGCTCTCTGCTGAGCAGGGAGCCCGATGCGATGCGGGGCTCCATCCCAGGACCCTGGGGTCATGACCTGAGCCAAAGGCAGACGCTTAATGACTGAGCCACCCAGGAGCCCCGGAGGGGGTGTTTTTTAACCAGATGGACCCATCACCTTTGCTTTTGATCTCTTCCTCACACCTGAACTCACAGTTTTCCAATTCCCTTGGAAACCAGGGAGACCTCACAGTGTAAGACAAATACCAATGAATGAGGAGTCAGTGGGAGCTGCTGTGGTTGAGGAGGGAGGGCTGGGTTCCTGATCACCACTCATTCAGATGCCTCTGGCCTGAGGCATCTAAGAATCCTAGAGTTTTGCAGAAACAAGCTAAAAGAGTTGTATGATTTGAATGTGTTACTAATCACAGAAGAGCATATTTCAGGCCTTCACCAAGTTTCTTTTCTAGGACCTCCTTTTTCCCCCTAGTCACACAACCTTCCCTACTGCACATAAGCCCTAGCTCTTTCCTTCCCCACCCTTTCAATACCTGCTAGAATTTGGCTCCCTCATGGCCACACAGAATGATTCTGCTATTGCTAGTTATTTTCTTCTAAGTAAACCTCTCTGTGCCTGGTTTCTTTGTCTGTAAACTAGGGATAATTGTAGCACCTGCCACCAGTTTGCCAGCCTGGTTGTTATAGTCCCCTAGTATTTAGGATCTCTTAAAGACAATAGTCCCCTCCTTCATGTTCCAAAACTATGCCAGAAGCCAGGGTGGGAGGATCAGTGAGCCTATGCCTAGGGCTTTGCCCCTCCTGGGATCTGGGATCTGGTGAAGGTTCACATTCTCACCCATTCACAATCCCAGCACATTGCCTTTGGCATCACATGAGAACAGCAAGGCTCCCTGGCCAGGTACCAAGTTCTCCCTTCATTTTCATTAAGCCCCTGCCACACTAATGGCATTTTATATATTGTTCTCTGCTTGTTAATGGGAGTGAACAAATTTGGTGACTGTGAAGGGAGGGTCCCTCTGAGATGATGACTTTTGTTCATATTTTCTATATTTCTTTATTGTGACTGCTCTTGGTATGAGGGGTGACCTCAGTGGGGTTGTTAAGGCTCTACTTTGCATCACTGTGTCTCTGAGCACATCTGCTATTATAAATTGGTCAGGGCAGGCTGTGCCTTGGGATTTTGGAAGCAGAAGTAGCCCTATCAGTGAAGGTAGCATTCCAGAGAAAGCAAGAATGGCACCATACCATATTGCTGCAAATTTATCTAAAAATCCTAGCACTCCATCTGGGTTTTTTAGAGACAAAGGTACAAGAGTTGAATTAAAGCATTTATTTCCAGGAGGGCTAAGGATAACATATTAAACTCAGACTGATCCTGAAATCTCATTTCTTCCAAGAAGTCTTTCCTGATTCACTGAAGAAGTGGTGATAATGAACATTATCTTCCTATTCATTGCCAACACCACCCCTAGCTCCTAAATCCATTCTTTTGTCTATGCATAGAGGAAATAACCCTTTTCAGATATTACATTTGTTTAATTGGTAACTGTGCTTGTGCTAAGTTTCCAAGGAGGCAGGGGTTAGATGCCAAGCCCAGTACCTTGAGCAGATAGGGACTGCTGGAGATAAAGTGGAGGAGGGCAGGGTGAGCTCCCAGGGACCTAACTAGTGCCTGGGAACTGGCTGCCATTTTAGTTTTGCTGTCCCAGGACTCTGGGATTTTGCCGTGGGCCTTCCTGGCATCGCTGTGGTGTCTGTGTAACTCTCCCACATGCTGGAAAGATAAGGCCCCACATGCCTTGGTGCCATGCCAGGGCGTGGGCTGCAGCAGGACAGAGGTTGTTAGGCAGAGCTGGCATGAGCTCGCCGGCGATGCTGGAGAGCCTTGGGAGCTCAGGCAGGTATCCAGGGGCAGAACAGGAATTCAGACCAGCCAAGGTGGGCAGGCAGGACTTAAAGTTCAGATGGAGTGATGGAGAGAATCAGAGAGGGCAAGAAAAGTCCGAGGGGTTGGTCTTGACAGTCAAAGCAAGTTGAAAAACCAAAGAGTAGTGAGGACAACAGGGTACAGTGGAGCATGCAATGGGCAGGGAGACCTACCTGGCTGCTGTCCTAGTACAGTTCCCAATTCCGGGCATGATCTGGGAACCTATGCTTTCCTTTGCTTCTCTAGCCTCAGTATCCTCATGTGTAAAATGAGATGCCTGGTCTAGAGACTTTCTAAAGCCTCTTTCAATAACAAAACCTTGAGGGCTTGAGAGTCCCTGAATCATGCTTTCAGTTCTGGAGGAGGCCTTCAAGATCTATAGTCACCAGCTGTGTCACAAAGGGGAGTGACCCAGAAATTCCAACATTTTCCAGCATTTCAAAAATAATAAAATTCTATCCTTGCCAGCAAAAGGATCACAATATATGATCACTTAAACTAGGGTTTGATAATGGAGTTTGGGAGGAAATATAATAAAATGATGTTCCTTTATGGTAAAAATTTTGAGGAACTGATCAAATTCACTCCTTTCATTTTACATATGAAGAAAACGAGGCCTGGAGTGGAGAAATCATTTGCTCAAGGACACCTAGTGAGTTAAAGGCAGAACAAGAACCGGAAGACTCTACCCCAGTTTTCTAACAGCCCAGTTCTAAGTTTCTACTCCTCCCCCCATACCCCCCTGTCCCCACTGTCTCATCTACCAACATCCCTTATAGAGAATAGGACCTGAGCTTCTGAAAAATGTTAGCTTTCCTTTCTCTGATAAATAGAAGGCAAGTTTGACCTGGCAACTTTTCCTTCTAGCAGTTCCAGCTACCAGTGATTTAGAGTGTAAACTAACCTAAGTAGCACTAGAGGGAAGATGCTGGATTACTCTTGTTGCCAGTGCACTGGAGATAGGTGTGTGGGTGGGTGTGTGTTTGAATGGATTGAGCAGGAAAGTCCTGTGTGTTTCCTACGGGAAGAGCATGGTCTCTGCAGAGTCTGAAAGGCAGTCATGTGAAGGAGCAGGAAGAGTTATAGATTGGAAATAAAAGAGCCTGGCTATGAATCCAGCTCAACTATGATATGACCTTGGGCAAGTGATCTCTCTGGACTTCAGTTTCTTCACTTATAAAATGTGGGGGCAGGGGACTCCAGGGGGTGCTAGATGTTTGCCAAACACTTTTCAACCCTCACACTGTAAGTATGTGTACCTCACCTCTTACCTCTTCTTCATAGAGTTGTTCTGGATTCTCCTAGGTGAAGGATCTAGTGATTTCAGTTCTTAGATGAGTAGTAAGTCCTAGAGAGACTAGGTCTGTCTATCCTGCATACCATGAGCATCAAAATCTTCCTAAAGAACAGCTTTATTCATGACCCCTGCTCAAATTCTTATGACTTCATACTGCCTGCAGAAGACAGTTACCATTCCTTTCTTAGCATTTGAACTTTCAAGACTTGTCCGCATGTTACCTATCTAGCTTTATCAACTGTCATCTCTAGAGATCCAAGTGTTTAAGGTTAGAGATCCAAATTTCAATCACAGCTTCACCTCTTTGCAGCTCTGTGACTTCAGGAACCTTTTCTACTGTCTCTGAGCCTCATATGTAAAATAAAGATGATAAAATACCTAGTTTATCAATTTGATATGAGGAATGAATGAAATATCATTAAAATTGTATAGGTAATGAATGAATGTTAGTGCATTCTCTCTCCCTTCCCCAACTAACACATGTGTTCTTTAAAAATAAGAATTGTACACCTCTTTTATATCCTTGATGTTTTGTACAAAGTCCCCAACAGAGCAAATGCTCAATAAATATTTGTTTGATAGACTGATGTTTGTCTGTCTGTTGCAGTGCCTAGATAAGCTGAAACATTCGCTTCTCTTTTGCAGTTTGCCCAGCTGGTGGCCATCTACAAGACATTGGGGGGAGAAAAGTTCCCACTCATTGAGCAGACATACTACCCCAACCATAAAGAGATGGTAAGTGATTGAGTGGGGACTTTAGTTACTCTGCTGTTTACATTCTGAGCCACATGGTGATTATGGAGCCCTAAAGAGGGCCTCAGCATTTCAACCCCAGAGACTCTGTTGGGATTGAACTGTGGACCTGCTTTGTGGGGCTAGAGCAGCTGAATTTTAATTGATAACCCCTTGTTTACAAAGTCTGCTGACCAAAGAGGGAAGGAGCAGAAACAAGGGCATTTTATCAAGGTGAGAAAGTAACAAATCTATGGATCAACAGTCAGAAGATCCTACTGTTTTGGGTTCTAGCCCTGGGCCTCCCACATGTCACTGGACTAGTTAGATTCCCGGTGAGTGAGTTTTTCAATAGGAAATTTAAATGGGCATAATTATTCCTGACCAGGATATCTAATATGGTACTTATAAAATGTAAGTGAGATTAAGTAATAGCCTTCTGGAAGAGTGTGAAGCCCTTCTCAGACATAAGGTGTTGTTCCTATTATTATTCACCAGCCCCTTCCATTCCTTTGGTTTCCTCAAGATTGTGATAAGACTGGGTTAACACTATGCCTTCTCTGAGGCCATGCTAGGATGTCAGAAGGAACAGAGAGATGGCATGGTTGGTTGGTGCAGAGGCTACAGCTAATGTTTTTCCTTTATGACAACCTCTAGCTCAATTCCCTTCTTCCTCTCTGACCCTACATCCTCTGCCCCAGGCCTGCTTGGTCAGTTGGGGATCCTGCTTAATCCACCAATGGAGACTCTCTGCCATAGCATTCCAGTGTCGTACTGTGGGAGAGAGATCATGTTTGTTCCCCCTCCCACTCCCTACTCCAAAAGGGGTCTCCATTTGAACCATTTCTGTGAATCAAGAACTTTCATTTGGCATATTAGGCATGGCCCTGCTTATTAGCAAACCACACAAAAAAGATGAATGGTAACCTTGGCACTTGAAAAGAACTACCTCCTTCATCTTTGCCAGGGAGAGGCTCTGGAACTTTAAGCCCTCATCCTTCATAAATCCTTGAGATGAACATAAGGGCTTTCCCTTTCAGGGCAAACCAGGAAGCCTTGCAGAATCTAAGGAACACTAAGGGGTCTGTGCTTGGAGTTCTCAGGGAGTCTAACACGCAGTGATGAGGGGACTGAACTTTAGGGCAGACAGGGAACAAAGCTGGCTTTTTTCCTGCCATAAAGTCTAGCAGGGCTAACCACTGAAAACAGTTGTAACAGTTGCAAAATATGTTCCCCATCTACCAGCTTTTGCCCCCAAGTGTCCTGTCTCTGAGGTGTCAAAAGCTAAAGGGGAATTTCATCTGTACAAGAGAAAGGCTTTTTTGGCTTTAAAAAAATTCTGAATTAGGAATAAAGACATTAGTAATCTAGTAGAGAATGACTTTCTAAAAGAAACAGGAGAAGCTTTATGGACATCAGCTGAGGGCATTAAGGATCGTTAACCTGGAGAGACAATACCTAAGTCTATTCTTGTCCAAAGAGGTATGTTAACTGGGCCAGAACCTCTGCCAGGAATGGTATACAGGGGATTATAGAATGTGAAGGGAGGTTAAGTCATTCCAAGTCTCACATTGAGTGACTCTGTATTCCCCAAGTGTCTACCCAAACAGATGAAAGTATATGAGAGGATTAGGATGAGTTGGGACATGAGTAAAGGGCATACGGCCATAGTGGGTTGTTCTTTTCATTCCTCCAAATCACCTTGTTTCTGATTCTGTGAACCCACCTTCTGGTATTGTACATAGCAAGGCTATATTATCTCATATGTATAATAATCACCATTTCTCCCCTATCAGATCAGTTAAGGTAAAACACACTCTCCTGGGGAGAAAAAGGAATAGTTCTGGCTTTAGAAAACAGACTAAGCCAAAATCAAAACTTTCAGTAACAGGTTTCAGCTAGACTAAAAGGGTTTGGGAGGCAGGGGAGATGGACTGAAGGCTGACTAGAAAAGTCATGTTACTTTCCCTGACCCTTGACAGGTGTTGAGCTGGCATTTGGACACAAGCTATAACATGCCCCATCCCTATCCTAACACTAGCCAGACCATCCACTTGGTACTTTCCATTGGCTGGCAGTGATGAGGCGGATGGTGACAGCCAGAGCTCCACAGGGAAGGAGAACTGGTTTGGGCTTCACGATGCTTGAAGGAATGTGATGGTCACTGGCCCCTACTAGGGCTGGATGATGTCAACAAACTCCTTCCTGGGGGGCAGGCGGCCCTGGTACCAGCTGCAGGTGCCATCAACATGCTTCATGCAGACATAATGCTGGGCCTGGTACCCATAGAGCTTCCGTTCCAACAGCCAGTCTGTCCAGAGGCACTCGTTGGGGGTTGAGATGGTACAAGGCACTGTATAGCAGGTGGTAATCTAGAGTTATAGCCACACAACATCAACGTGAGTAGGGTGTCCTTTTTCCATTATTGCCTTTCAGACTCCTACATATCCTTACAACCCAGCTCAAATGCCCCTGACTCCTGAAGCCTTTCCTAGTCCCCAGACTTCCTCCTGAGTTCCCTTTCCCCTATCTCCTAACATACAGTATTGCCTCTCAAATGATATCTCTGGAGTCAGACAGGCCTGAGGTCCTTAGTCCACCACTGACCTTGAGCAAATCACTTCACTTCCTACAGCATGAATTTCTTCACCTTAAAATGGAAATCTTAAATCTTCATAAATTTGTTATAAAGACTAAATTAAATATTTTAAATAAATACACCAATACAGGGTCTGGCAAAAAGTAGACTCTCTTTAAATGGTAGCTATATTATCTCTTTCTTTAAATGATGGCCACCTTCCCAGCCAAAATGTAAGTATGGACTTACATAGATCATCTTGGGATCATGGACTATGGACCATCTTGCTTTCCCATCCCCAACTTCATACAGTACCTGATCCATGGCAGATTTCAAATATAGTACAATAAGTGAATAAATGTATGCACAAAGGAAGGAATACATGAAGAGTAAGGCTACAAGGCTCAAGACCCTTCCCCCACCCCCAAAAGACCTTGCAAATGATATTCTCTTACTTGGCAGCCACAGTTCAGATGGTAGTGGTGATTCAGACTTTCTCTCTGCAAAAAGGATAGGTTCTCCCAAGGTTCGATGTAGTTGCACAGATGGATGAAGACTTTTCCATCACTGAGGATCTGACCTTCAAGGGGAATGGAGGAAGACCTAGCATGAGGAATATGCTCATGGAGCTCCAAGAGCCCAGGTCCTCAAAGAGCCCAGAATTGCAGTTTTTTCAATGGCTTCTTGGTGGCAGTGGTGACATGGGGCTCAATGAAAGAACCAGAAAAGCCTCTATAATTTTTATATCAAAGATATTAACAGATTATGTTTGTATGAGAGAGAGTTGTGGGATGAAGACCTTTTCCTTTAGTGTGGTGTAGAGAGAAAAACATGGGCTTTAAAGGCAGACTGTTGGTACAACCCCCTTCTTTTCTCTCATTTACAGCCGTATGACCTTAAGAAAGTCACATAATTTCTCTGCTCAAAGATGAAAGTAGTAAGTTGTCAGGATTAAATGAGAGAATGTCTGCAAAGTTCCCAGCACAGCTTGGGCCCACAGAAGGTTCCATAAATAATAGGTCCCTTCCTCTTTCTAACCCTTCCCAATATCTACACAGCCTAGTCTCCCACCCCATTGATACCTGTCTTGGTGAGTCTCTCCCCAAGGAAAGTTCCCCCTCTTTACTTATCAGATTCTTTCCTAGCTTCCAAAGACCCTTTTCAGTACCACAGTGTCCTCAAAGCCATCTCTGACCACCTTAGCCCACACCTCTCTTAGAACCTCAGTCACTCAATTACTCACTAAGCAACTACTTACTATGACTTGGTACCAGAAATACAGAAATAAATATGACAGAATCTCTTCCCCAAGGAGCTTAATAACCAGTAGGGCAGATAGATAAGTAGGCAAAAATTATGCTGTTGTGTGATTATATGTATTATATGCAGTATAACAATGAACAAAGCACAATTATCTCCATCTGTGGAAGGGGTGGGTGGCAAGGAAGGTGTCTCAGAGAAGGTGATGCTTGCATTGGGCCTTGAAGGGGTGGGTAGGAGTTCCCCTGCCAGACAAATGAGGGAAAGGACTTCTGGACATTGAGACTACCTTGTGCAAGGTGGAGGGGCGCAGCCCAGGAGAACACCTTCTGCAACTGCAAGTAGTTTAGTTCAGCTCTGGGGGAAATGAGGAGCTGGGAGCTGTCACTCACACAAGGCCGGAGACAAAGCTGGAGAGGTCAGCAGTGTTCTGGTCACAAGGGCTTTCAACATTAGACAAAAGAGCTTGTGCCTTCTCCTGAAGAGCCTGGGCACCACTGATAACTTCTCAGTAGACTTGTATTTTGTTGTTTATCCCAACCCTCAGTTAGACTTGACGTTTTTGAGGGCAGAGAACATGTCTCCTCCTCCCCCGATGCACCACAGTGCCTGGCAGAGGGCTAGGTACACAGAGGGAATGAGGTGGCCTTGCCTGCTAATCCTGGGACCTGGAGGGCTCAGTGGCGTGCCCTGCCTCTGTCTCTCCTATCCAGAGGCTCCCAAATCAACACAACTCCACATCCTTAGATCTGGGGAGCCCCTACCAGTATGGCTTCTAATGGCTATGACTTCTCAAGAGCCAAGCTTGGACTGTGAGCTCTTTGAGGACTGTGGCTTGTCACCGAGTCTCCACCCTCCTGCCCAAGGCCTGGCAGCAAGTGGGTGGTCATTATTGCCGAATGGATGGACAGATAGTAGAAATTCCTCCTATTCTCCCCACCTGCTGTGTTATTCTTTTCCTTGCCTTCTTTCCAAATATTTTTCTTCCTTTAGGGGCAGTGTAGTTCCCACTTACACAGTGAAACTTCCCTAATTGTTTACAATCACACAAATACCTCTTTTCCTGAACTACAAAATAATTTAGTATTGCATTCATTCACTTACAGAGTCATAATCTTGTGTGGTTTCGTAACTGTCCTGTCCCAACCAATTGAGTACGGAGACC